CAAGCCCCTCTGATATTACTCTTGCTTTCTATTTTGAATTTTTATTCAAACAAAAAATTGAAGACTTTCTATTATGCAGACTACTGCAATACTGTAATAATTGTATAAATAACATCAACCCATTCATGACTGCATATTAGAATGGCTAGTTGGACATTTATTGGACAATGGCATCATTTGTTTACTTTTGAACATTGGCAAAAATCAAACATTTCCTCTACTTTGAGCTCCATTTCTAGGTTCTTTTTATAGTAAAATCAATCAAAATCACCTCTATTTCTATAATATGTTTTCCATTCTATCAAATGAGACCAAGAAAACGAGAATACAACCATAAATACTATACGAAAATAGACCACAAAGTCGGCATTTTAATTAAAAAAAAACGGTCGGAGTTTTTTTTTTCCCATTATGCACTGTGTGCTCCAGGATTTTTTTTATATGGTGCACACTGACCACACAGACCCATTCTCTCACATGTGGGCCTACCAGCTTTCTCCTGCTTGATTTGCAGCCGCTAGAATTTATGAGTATATATACGTCAAACACGGTACCTCGTAAGACGTATATATACGGCCGCGACAGTCAAAGGGTTAAGGCCTAATTTCTTTTCAATTAGGTAATTTTTCACAGTGGGGGCAAATGCATGGTGTAACCAGTCATAGAAAAAGTCCCTAGTGACCCATGCCTTACTGTCTGCCCTCCACAGCACACACAAATTAGCCTTGAGGACATTGTTTTTCCTGAACACTCTGGGAGTTTCAGAGTGATACACCAATAAAGGCTTCACTTTGCAATCACCACTAGCATTGGCACACATAAGAACATAAGAAACACTGCAACAGGCCTACTGACCCATGCGGAGCAGGTCTATGCCCCCCCCCCCCCCGATTAGACCAATGACCCCCCCCCCCCCCGGGATTAGACCAATGACACCCCCCCCCTGGATTAGCCCAATGACCCACCCAGTCTGATCATCTCCACTCAAGGATGGAGCACTGCACCAGACCCAGACCCAGCAGCACAAGCTAGTCAGGTCCAACTCACACCCACCCACACCCACTCATGTATTTACCTAACCTATTTTTAAAACTACAGAACGTTTTAGCCTGAATAACTGTACTCGTGAGTTTGTTCCACTCATCCACAACTCTATTACCAAACCAGTGCTTTCCTATATCCTTTCTGAATCTGAATTTTTCCAACTTGAAACCATTGCTGCGAGTCCTGTCTTGGCTGGAAATTTTCAGCACGCTATTTAGATCCCCTTTATTTATTCCTGTTTTCCATTTATACACCTCGATCATATCCCCCCTAATTCTACGCCTTTCAAGAGAGTGCAGATTCAGGGCCCTCAGTCTGTCCTCATAGGGAAGATTTCTGATACATGGGATCATCTTTGTCATCCTCCTCTGTACGTTATCCAGAGCATTTATATCCATTCTATAATACGGTGACCAGAACTGAGAAGCATAGTCTAAATGAGGCCTAACCAAGGATATATAGAGTTGAACAACTTGAAGACTTCTATTATTTATACTTCTAGATATGAAGCCAAGAATTCTGTTAGCTTTATTGTGAACACTAATGCACTGTTGTCTTGGTTTTAAATTACAGTGGACCCTCGACTAACGCTATTAATCCATTCCTGAGAGCTCATCGTTAGTCAAAATAATCGTTAGTCAAGTTAATTTTCCCCATAAGAAATAATGGAAATCAAATTAATCCGTGCAAGACACCCAAAAGTATTGAAAAAAAAAATTTTTAACACACGAAATATTAATTTTAATACACACAAACTGAAGAAGACATGCACAGTTACATGACACCTTTATTGAAGATCTGGTGATGATTGATGAGATGGGAAGAGGGGAGTGTGTTGATGGTATTAATGTTTAGAAGGGGAATCCCCTTCCATTAGGACTTGAGGTGGCAAGTCCTTTTTCGGGGTTACTTCCCTTCTTCTTTTAATGCCTCTAGGACCAGCTTGAGAGTCACTGGACCTCTGTCGCACAACATATCTGCCCATAGAGGCCTGTACCTCCCGTTCCTTTATGACATTCCTAATGTGTTTCACAACATTGTCAGTGTCACCATTAAACACTTGTTCAGGTTTCAGTCCTTCACTGTCTATGTACTCCTTGAATTCCTGCACATATTTTTCAGCTGCCTTTTGGTCCAAACTGGCAGCCTCTCCATGCTTTATCACACTATGTATGCCACTACGATTCTTAAATCTCTCAAATCAACCTTTGCTGGCCTTAAATTCACTCACATCACCACTAGTTGCTGGCATTTTTCTAATTAAATCGTCATGCAACTTCCTAGCCTTTTCACATATGATCGCTTGAAAGATGCTATCTCCTGCTATCTGTTTTTCGTTTATCCATACCAATAACAGTCTCTCAACATCTTCTATCACTTGCGATCTCAGTTTCGAAAACATAGTTGCACCTTTGGCAAGAACAGCTTCCTTGATTGCCGTTTTCATGGCCACAATAGTAGCGATGGTTGATTGGGGTTTTGTGTACAGCCTGGCCAGCTCGGAGACACGCACTCCACTTTCATACTTAGCAATGATCTCTTTCTTCATATCCATAGTATTTCTCACCCTTTTTGCTGTAGGGTTGGCACTAGAAGCTTTCTTGGGGCCCATGGTGACTTATTTTGCAGGTGCAATCACTAAAAAGGCTGTGATAACATGAAATGTTCCGATTGTATGCTTGGAAGCGACCTCGGTGGCTGGCTGGCTTGTAAACACTGGCCAGAAGTGGACGTGTCTTAGACGGAACAAATAGTGTTGGTCGAGTTTTTTAGCGCTAATCGAGGCAAAATTTTTGCGATAAAATGTATCGCTAGTCAGATTATCATTAATCCATGCCATCGCTGGTCGAGGGTCCACTGTACTGCCAACCAGAACTCCTAAATCCTTTTCGTAATCAGTAGTATTAAGATTTACATCATTTAGTTTATATGTGGCATGGTTATTTACCTGTCCAACATTTAGAACTTTGCATTTGTCAATATTAAACTGCATCTGCCACTTCTCCGACCATTGCATCAGTCTATTCAAATCATCCTGGAGTGCTCTAGTGTCCTCATTAGAATGAATTGGACGGCCTATTTTGGTGTCATCAGCAAATTTGCTTATGTCGCTATTTATTTCCTCATCTATGTCGTTTATGAAAATTGTGAACAACAACGGGCCCAACACTGACCCCTGAGGAACACCGCTTGTGACGTGCCCCCATTCTGATTTCTCCCCATTTATGCAAACTCTCTGCTGTCTATTTGTCAGCCATGCCTCTACCCAGGAAAAAATTTCTCCTCCTGTCTTTCATAGGCTTATGTCCTGGGAGTGCCTTTTCCTCCTGAGTAATGTAGGTCCTGCTTGGCATTTTCTTCCAAAACAGGCTTGTTTCGTCACAATTAAACACTTGTTCAGGTTTCAGTCCTTCACTGTCTATGTACTCCTTGAATTCCTGCACATATTTTTCAGCCGCTTTGTGGTCCGAACTGGCAGCCTCACCATGTCTTATCACACTATGTATGCTACTACGATTCTTAAATCGCTCAAACCAACCTTTGCTGGCCTTAAATTCACTCGCATCACCATTAGTTGCAGGCATTTTTCTAATTAAATCGTCATGCAACTTCCTAGCCTTTTCACATATGATCGCTTGAGAGATGCTATCTCCTGCTATCCTATCTGTTTTTCGTTTATCCACACCAATAACAGTCTCTCAACATCTTCTATCACTTGCGATCTCTGTTTCGAAAACGAAGTTGCACCTTTGGCAAGAACAGCTTCCTTGATTGCCGTTTTCTTGGCCACAATATTAGCGATGGTTGATTGGGGTTTTGTGTACAATCTGGCCAGCTCGGAGACACGCACTCCACTTTCATAATTAGCAATGATCTCTTTCTTCATATCCATAGTAATTCTCACCCTTTTTTCTGTAGGGTTGGCACTAGAAGCTTTCTTGGGGCCCATGGTGACTTATTTTGCAGGTGCAATCACTGAAAAGGCTGTGGTAATATGAAATGTTCCGATTGTATGCTTGGAAGCGACTGCGGTGGCTGGCTTATAAACACTGGCAACCACGGAACAAGTGAGGCAGACTCAGGCCGCACGTGGACGCATCTCGAACGAATCGCGTTGAGCGAGTTTTTTAGTGCTAGCCGAGGCAAAATTTTTGCGTTAGAATGTATCGCTAGGCGGATTTAACGTTATGCGATGCGTTCGTTAGGCGAGGGTCCACTGTATTAAGTTTAATGCAATAGAATAATTACAATAACAACAATAACAATAGATTAATAACAATAGAATAATTGACACTTAACTTTAATGAAGATCTGGTGATGATTGATGGGATGGGAGGAGGGGAGAGTGTGGATGGTGTTAGTGTTTAGAAGGGAAATCCCCTTCCATTAGGACTTGAACTGGCAGCCTCACCATGCCTTACCACACTATGTGTGCCACTACGATTCTTAAATCTTTCAAACCAACCTTTGCTGGCCTTAACTTCACTCACATCACCATTAGTTGCAGGCAATTTCTTTACCAAATCATCATACACTCCGACACACGCACTCCACTTTCGTACTTTGCAATTATCTCTTTCTTCATTTCAATAGTCATTAGCAACTTTTTTCTCGAAGGGTTGGCACTAGAAGCTTTCTTGGGGCCCATGGTTACTTATTTTGCAGAAACAAGCACCAAAAACAGTGATAATATGGATAATATGGAATGTACCGAATGTATCCTTAGATGCGTGCACACTGGCTGGCTTGTAAACACTGGCACACACAGGGCAGTTCAGGCCACACGTGGACATGTCTCGTACGAATTGTATCGAATGTCAGGTTTTCCATCGAATGTCGAGGCGAAATTTTTGCGTTAAAATGCATCGAATGTCGGATTTATTGAATGTCGATGCCATTGAATGTCGGGGGTCCACTGTGTATGTATTTATATATGTATTTTTTTTTTCTTGCAGTATGACAACTACCCTTTAGAAGATTCGGATAACTTTAACTACAGTGTTAGAGGTGAAGGAGAATATGGAGATCGTAGTAACTACCCAACCTATTCCATTCCTGAGGAAGTGAAGAAATATGTTACTTACTTCAGAGATGCCATCCGAGATGGAAATGTCTATGACATTCCTCCACTCTATTTGGAGTAAGCACTTATTGTTTGCTGTGTTTATAAATCATTTTAATATGCAGTACTGTATTGTAAATGTTTGAAAGTGATTAATTTGTATTCTATTTGGTATAAAAATCCTGCTTTTGAAGCATCAGAAAATTTAGAAATTATTAATTTATTGGTGTTATGTAACATTTTGAGCTGGTGCAAAAGTTTAATTATTGGACAGTTATTTTCATGAACCATTTTTTTTTTGTATAAATTCCTGATAATAAAATAAAATAATTCATATATTTTTGTGCTGTATAATATTTTGTTTTCTGATTAATGGTTTCACAGTTGCTATGTAAATTCTTTTATGCAAAGAGAATGCACTTTCTATTTGTTCTTATGGATGATTGTTTATTTCAGCTTTAATCGCTTAACTGAGGAGTACTACAAGACCCAGACCTGGCCTGAAGTGGAGGATTTGTATAGCAATAAGCTGGTGGAACAGGATGGCAGAGATGATATATTTCTTATTCTCTATCGAGAGTTATACTATCGTCACATATATGCCAGGGTGCAGGGAGGGCCCACTATACCTCAGCGTTTTGAGTCATACTACAACTACTGTAACCTTTTCAATTATATCCTCAGTAAGTTTCTAGCTAGCACCTACTGTGTTATGCAAACATGTTCTGAGTCATGAAAAATTGGCTAATTCTTTGTAATGAAAAGATATAGATGTCATATTGCAAGAATGCTTGCAGCAAGTTTTTTGCTGTCTTGTGTCAGTAAGTTTGGTGAAGGAAAACCCATCAAGACCAAGATTACTAGGTTCCTGATTATTTTATTTTTGGTTATCCAAGGTTAAATTTTCCTTTGACAATTTAAGTCAGTAGTAGTTGCCCTTCAGAGATATACTGTTCTTTGATGAGCAGCTAAATTTTATATTTTTAAATCACTGATGCCTTTAATTTTGCTTCATCCCAAGAGAAAAAAAAAACATTTATCTGATTAATAACCTTCTCCACCCCTAAATTGAAAAATAACCATAGGATTTTCAAAAATGTATTTGATGGATATCCCATAGGATTTCCCCCACATTTTTTTTATAGGTGCTGAAACTCCTGTACCAATGGAACTTCCCAATCAGTGGTTATGGGAAATCATTGATGAGTTCATTTACCAGTTCCAGTCATTCTCACAGTTTAGATCTAAACTTGGCAAGAAGAGTGAGTCAGATATAGAGATGCTGAAAGAATCACCCAAGATTTGGAATGTTCACTCTGTTCTCAATGTCTTGCACTGTTTGGTTGATAAATCAAATATCAACAGACAACTCGAGGTGAGCCTTAGTTTCCTACAAAAGGTAATGTTTTGAAATTGAGAGGCCTCTTGCTCATCCTATTCTGCTATATCCTCTGTGCCCAAACCACCTTAACATATCCCTCCTCAGCCTTCTGGATTATTCCTCTGATAACCCCCACTGTTTTTGCACTTAGAATTTTCTGAATAATATTCACACTACACATTGCTCTCAAGCACAACATCACTGCATCTACCCTCTTCCTCAATGCAGAGTTTTAAGTCCATGTCTCACACTTGTCTAAAAATGTTGGTACCACTATACTCTAGCACATTACTCTTGTTTTGCCTTCATAGATAAACTTCTGTAGGGGTCGTCCTCGAAAAGGTTGGAGGGAGGGGGTAAAGGAGATTTCGTGGGCGAGGGGTTTGGATTTCCAACAAGCGTGCTTGAGCGTGTTAGATAGGGGTGAATGGAGGCGAATGGTTTTTGGGACCTGACAAGCTGTTGTATTTTGAGCAGGGTAATATTTTGTGAAGGGATTCAGGAACACTGGTTAGCCGGACTTGAGTCCTAGAAATGGGAAGTACAATGCCTGCACTTGAAAGGAGGGGTTTGGGATATTGGCAGTTTGGAGTGACTATCTAAACTGTCGTATCTGGGCGCCTCTGCTAAGACAGTGATAATGTATGAGTGATGGTGAAAGTGTTGGCTGATAATGAAAGTTTTTTCTTTTAGGTCACCCTGCCTTGGTGGGAGACGGCTGACGTGTTAAAAAAAAAAAAAAAAAAAATCTTTCCACAGATGCCTCGACATACTGCCTATCTTTTTCCCCTTGTTTATTATATAGTTCACTTTATCTTTCATAAGCCCATCTGCTGACATGTTTACTCCCAGATATCTAAATATATTTGCTTTCTGCATATTTCCCCTCTCCAGTCTGTTATCCAATCTTTCACTGCCTAGTCATTTTATTCTCGTTACTTTGCTCTTTTCTGTGTTCACTTTCTTTAATTAACTCATTTTACATACCCTCTCAGATTAATTCACAAACCTTTGCAGCTTCTCTTCAGAATCTCCCTAAAGAGTTGTCATTGGCAAAAAGCAAGTCAAACAGCTCTCACATTGTATCAGATTCATCTTTTAATCCCACACCACTTCCTGACACTCCCACATTGTTAGTTCTTTTACTATCACATCTGTTAAAATGCGTAACAATCATTGTGACATCAAACAGCTCTGTATAAAACATACTTTTACTGAAAAAAAAAAAGTTTCCCTATACATACTCGAACTTGAGCTTCACTCCCTACATACTTTCTTCTGCTTTTAGTAACCAACCACCTACATTTAATGCATTTGAACATCTGCCACATTGCCTTCCTAACCATTCTATCATATGTCTTCTAAATCTAGTTTCCTCTTTCTAAGCATTGCTTACTTATGGTTCAATGTAAACAGTCTGTGCATCCCTTACCCATCCTCAGTCATCCTTGTTCTTATATAATCCTACTTTGTCTTACCCCTAACTCATAATAATAATTCAACTATACATTTTACCTGGTATACTCAATAGGTTTATTCCCCTATAATTTTTTCTTTCTTTATCCCTCTTTCTTCTATACAAAGGAACTATTGATGCTCTCTGCCAGTCCTTAGATACCTATCTTTTTTTTATGTAAATAAAACAAATACAGCAACTATAAAATTATATCCCCACCTGCTTTTAATATTTCAGGTCTTAATACCATGTGTCCTGGCTTCTTTACATTCACCTCTGACTTCCTTATCTCCATGAGATGTTATTCCTTCCCACTCAGTGCAAGAAATCACTGCCTCCCTTTTATCATAAACATTTAATTCTTCAAAATATCTTGTCTGTCTTTCCAGTATCTCCTCTGCTCCATCTAACATCTCCCCCTTTTTGTTTTTTACTACCAAGTCCATTTGCTCCCTGGTTTTCTCATCTTATTAATCTCTCTCCAAAGTTGAATCTTATTCTCAGGATAATTTGCAGATAGAGACTCGCACATTCTCACTGGCTCTTTCCCTTTTTTTTTGCATTCCTCACCACTCTTTAACCTCTCTTTTCCTTTTTGCCTTCTGTATATTATATCACATGCTGTTTCATCCCTTTCCTCTTCCCTCCTTCACCCACCTTCCTATACTCACTAACTTATACTGCATACTAGTATTGCATTCTTAAATCTAGCCCATACTTCTTCAGCCTTTACCTTATTACCTGTATTCTCTGTATCCTTTAGTTCATTCAGTTTCACTTCTCTTATGCCCCGATGCCATTTTTCTTGTACTCTATTTACTACTTACTCTTATTGTAACTACCACTAAATAATGATCTGACATATCTGTTGCTCCTCTAAAACACACCTGTCAGGAAGTATACTCATTATCCATTTTATCTAATAAATCAGTCTTGCAAACTGCTGTCATTGTACCACATATCATATTTTGTTTATTTGTCCTCTTTCTTAAAACAAGTATTACCTATTGCCAAACCTATTTTCTGTTCATTCAGTTAGAGGCTCCCAGGAATAATATTTGTAATATATAAAAAATTTTGATATGCAGTATTTCTGCTAGTCAGTAATTTCTTTTCAGTGATCCACTGACAGCAACATTGGTGTGGGGTTTTAGCATACAAACAAAGTCATATAATAAGTGAACTGTAATGGGACTTAGCTTGATGACGTCACAACATTCTGCAGCTGCGTCCAGAATGTTCTTGGAGCCAATGATACAACTGTAACTGCACATGGGCTGTAATGGATAATTAATTTTAAATATAATTACCCCTAGGGGGTGTTATTCAGCATATCTCAGACTGATTGCTGAAGTTATATGTACTGGTTTGGACTCAAAAGTCCGCGGGTAACTGGATTATGGTACTGTCAAATAAGACATAAGTTGATATCCGCTCCGCAGCCGACCTAACCAATATCGTGTTTATCAGACGTACAGTTGACCCCCGACATTCAATGCCATCGACATTCGATAAATCCGACATTCGATGCATTTTAATGCAAAAATTTTGCCTCGACATTCGATACAATTCGTACAAGACGTGTCAACGTGTGGCCTGAACTGCCCCGTGTGTGCCAGTGTTTACAAGCCAGCCAGTGTGCGCGCATCTAAGGATACATTCGGTACATTCCATATTATCCATATTATCATTGTTTTTGGTGCTTGTTTCTGCAAAATAAGTCACCATGGGCCCCAAGAAAGCTTCTAGTGCCAACCCTGTGGCAAAAAGGGTGAGAATTAGTATGGAAATTAAGAAAGATTTTGAAGGGTTTGGGGCTAACCCTGAGAAGCCTATGCCAGTTGTGGACTCCATTGTGCCTACCTTTATGGATGAAAATCACCCTAACACAGCTATTGCAAGCCGTGCTGGTGACTATTACAATGACAATGTTATGGCCCATTTTAGACAAATCTTAAAGGAACGGCAACAGAGGTCCAGTGACTCTCAAGCTGGTCCTAGTGGCATTAAAAGAAGAAGGGAAGTAACCCCAGAAAAGGACTTGCTACCTCAAGTCCTAATGGAAGGGGATTCTCCTTCTAAACAGTAACAACTTCAACACTCTCCCCTCCTCCCATCCCATCAATCATCACCAGATCTTCATTAAAGGTAAGTGTCAATTATTCTATTGTTATTGTTATTGTAATTATTCTATTGCATTAAACTTAATATTTCATGTGGTAAAATTTTTTTTTCATACTTTTGGGTGTCTTGCACGGATTAATTTGATTTCCATTATTTCTTATGGGGAAAATTAATTCGACATTCGATATTTTCGACATTCGATAGCTCTCAGGAACGGATTAGTATCGAATGTCGAGGGTCCACTGTACTTGGGTATTTGTAGCTGACCCGTATACACCCAGATATCTGCTGTCTTGATTGAAGCAGATGTGTTCTTTGAAGAATGTCGCACTGTCTTCCACTCTGTCGGGAAATTCGCAGCACTCGTTACACTGTTCATCAAGAATCGTCAATTGTTCACAGTCATACCACTAAAGAAGCTGATCACACTTCTCTGTAATTGTTCTGCTGTGTCTGTTGAGATTTTTTTATTAACAAAGCGGGCAATCACTAGTGTCTTTGTTATTACAGCGTAATGCACGAGTTGTCTCGATGATGTCTAAAAGGAATTTACCCTGCAGCGCCCCTCGTTGGCCTGACTTTCTCTCATATAAAGGATTCGCTGACACCATTGTTTTTTCCTTGTTTGCCAAACTGCAACAATTTGCAACACAAATGCTTGATTTCTTGATGTCTCAATCACTGAGAGTTCATTATTGTCTCACATGTGAATAAAGTGAGGTAGATTTCCTGTTGCGGTACAGAGATTAATTACTCTCGTTAACTCACATTGGTTGCAACACTGGTCTCTCGCAAAGAGGTGGTGTGATAATGACACACACTAGTCATATACTTCCAATTAAAAGTGTTGTTGCAGAAGCAAGTTGCCATTGCCCTTTCTGAGGGGGCTGGGCCCCTCAGGTCTGAAAAGGGTTGAAGGGGGGAGGGGGCCAATACCCTCTTCCTTAGAGAAAATTTCTCCACAATTGATGGTTGCTGTGTGCTCCACATGTTTCAGCTTTATTATTTTTTACTTTTTTCTGAGGTTTTCTGTTTTTTTTTTTTTTTTTTTTTTTTTTTTTTTTTTTTTTTTTTTTTTTTTTTTTTTTTTTTTTTTACATTTTGTGGTAACTTTTGTTGTCTTGAGACCTGTATTATGCACAACGAACACTTCTTTTTTCTCAACAAACCGTTCGTATCCCACCAAGGCAAGGTAAAGAAAAACAAAAGTTTTTCTTTTTAAATTTAGTAATTTATACAAGAGAAGGGGTTACTATACCCTTCCTCCCAGCATTTTAGTCACATCTTATGAAACACATGGCTTACAGAGGAAGAAACAATGAACATATATCCACCTATTGTGTGCAACATAATACCTGCACTAATAGTGTAATCAATATAATGTTTGCACAACACACAGGTACAAATGTTTCAT